CACACCAGCAGGGACAGGAGCCCATCCCCAGCATCACAGTAGAAAGGCATCATGGCACACTCACAAACTAGCATGTAAAACAACTTGTCTCACCACTAAGGACAATGACAGAGGTTTGGATACACGTCTTCTGCAAAGGATGTGTAAGCCGCACTGCCGCGCCAAGGCACCTCTTATAGTGCGGTCCTAACTCTAAATGCATCCCCAGCATCAGGCACAGAGGGCGAGACTGCTGAAGCAGATGACACAACACACGAGCACATTGCTGCAGTGCAGCCGTAGCTAAACTATTAAGCCCACAATTACATCTGCTGTGGAGGCTGCTATACAGCAGGGGCTGGCTGCAATCAGAAAAGACATCTGTGTTCACTCAAGGTCTCTTAAAGAGGCAGAACACAGAATTTCATCTCTGGAGGATGAACTTGCTGAGGCTCACTCAAAAATAATGCTAGTGGATTCCGTGTCAAGTCTCTACAGGACAAAATAGAAGACCTGGAGAATCGTTCCAGAAGGAACAATTTAAGAATAGTAGGTTTACCAGAAACCTACAAACCACAAACCCTTACCAGCCTATGTTCAGTCCTTATTCCTGATGCATTGGGACTCGCTGCTGAATGTGTGGTGGAACGTGCTCACAGGCTGGGACCGCCACAAACAGAAAGATCTACTCCCAGACCGCTGATTGTTCGTTACCTTAACTATGCGGATAAAACCAGTATCTTGCAACAGTTTAGGTCTCAGCGCTCATTGATAATTGATGGAAACAATTTGTTGATCTTTGCAGATTACTCGGTAGACGTGACGAGAAAACGCAAAGCGTTTAGCAAGGTCTGTACCGCTCTCTACCAAAAACGTATTCGGTTCACCCTGGCGTATCTGGCTACCTTATACTTTGAGACAGCTACGGGCCGCAAATACTCATTCCAAGATCCGAAGGAAGCTGAATCTTTCCTGGATCGACTGGATAGTGATCATGGGTCTCCCTCCAAAATATCTTTACCACCACGCACGCCCCCCCAAAAAAAGGCAATAAGCAACAGAAACAGAGTGGAAACACACCACGCAAACAACGCACTCGCTGAATAACGCAGTAACAATACATGTTCACAAAAAGAAAGTTATAGATTCCTAGGGGCAAATATACCTGTGTGTTTTTCTGTTTTATTCCATAGGTATCGGATGGAGGGGTCATTCCTGTCAATGCGACTACCTGATGGGGATCCTTCAGGCTCATGGGGCCTTGTGCCATGGTTCCTCCTTAGATAGATGTAGTGGCGGAGCGGGAGGTTAATGCGCAAACCCCGATTTGCTCACACTAGGAAGAAACGGTGAAGTCATACTTGTTGATATTCTCTGTTACAGTTTTTTCATGTTTATGTTAATTGAATACATTCTTGTTATGTTGTTACTAGATACTGATCGCTCTAGGGTTCTAACTCGATGTTTGCTGTATCTGGGGTCATGAGCTTGTGATGCGACTCCTAAGATGCCCTTCATACAAAGGTATTGGACAAGTTTATTTGGGTTCCCGGGAGGGACTACATTGATCCACAATCGAAGTATAATACTCACTATTGTCATAGAATACATCCTTCCATTTACACGGGTATCACTAGCTAAACCAATATGAAAGTAGTGTCATGGAACATTAAAGGACTTAGAAGCCCACATTAACGTAACATGGTACTCAGACACTTACAACGTATGGGAACAGATATAGCTTTGCTTCAGGAGACACACTTGAAGGAGGAAGACATGCTGCGTCTTCGCAGACTATGGGTGGGAGAAGTATTTGGATCCCCCTCTGAAGGCAGGAAAGCTGGAGTAGTGATCCTTGTGCACAGACGCCTTAATTGCCAGGTGGACAGGGACACGAATGGTAGGATGCTCACAGTAACTATGCGCTGCCTGGGTAACGTACTAGCTGTCACTAATATTTACATGCATAACTCTCCCACCAAAGCTCATTTTAGTGAATTAACCAAGTGGCTGACTAAACCTAAGACAAGGCTGCACCTAATGGGGGGCGACTTTAATTCAGTGATGAATCCATCCGAGGATAGAAAGAGATTTGACACTCGTTCTACTCAATCTAGGATGAACAGGGGAGACCAGAGGATGGATTTGTCAGTTATGACATCCTCTCTGGGGATGCAAGATGTATGGAGACTAATGCACCCTATAGAGACGGAATACACGCATCTTTCCTCAGTACATAACTGTCTGGCCCAGCTGGACTACCTTTTCGGCTCAAATGCACTACTCCCTATGATCGATCAATCTGAGATACATGATATAGCGATATGTGATCATGCACCGATCTCAGTTTCTATCCGGGTAATGCCCTGGATCCACAATAATGTCATGTGGAGATTCCCCTCCTTTCTGGCCTCTAGTGGGGACTTTGGCCAATTCGTCACTACAGCGTGGGAGGAGTATAGGAAGAATAATTCTGCACATGCTGACTCTCCCGTCCTGTTTTGGGAGGCCGGCAAGGCTTACTTGAGCGGCAGAATTACTTCATATGTATCAGCATACAGGAAGAAAGCCAGGCAGGCATATAAGGAGGCGAGCGCATCTTTGCGGTCAGCTCAGCAGCGACTTAACTTAGCGCCCTCCCCTGCTAATAGGAAAGAATGGGAGGCAGCTAAACGGCAATTTGACCGATGGGCGGATAGGTACGAGAGAAGTAAAATGTCATACACTGACCTCCAATACCACAAATTCGGGAATAAGTCGGGCAAACTCCTGTCCAAACTAGTCAAGGGAAGGTACACACCAATGCATATCTTATCTCTTAAGAACTCACCGAATCAGCTGGAGACTGATCCAGTGAAAGTTAACGGGATTCAAGAGGCATACTATCGCTCCCTTTACAGTGCTGAGGACATAGACATGCCTGCAGCCCACCAGTTCCTGCAACAGATTTATCTCCCTAATCTAACACAAGAACATCTATCCATTTTAAATGGGGATTTATCCAAACAGGAGATAGCTGATGCAATTGCTAATCTTGCTGGGTCAAAAGCCCCAGGTCCAGACGGGCTACCTGGGGAGTTCTACAAAATATTGAAAGATGATATCACAGATACCCTCTCTAACTTCTATGACTCAATGTGGGAGGGCGGGCCCTACTTCCCCACTGGGAAAGAGGCATATATAAAACTAATACCAAAACCTGACAAAGACCCGACACACCCGGGATCATACAGACCGATATTGTTACTTAATGTGGACGCAAAAATACTTTCAAAAATAGTGACACAGAGACTGGCTGATATACTGCTGTCAATGATTGACCCGGCACAGGTGGGTTTTATTAAAGGTAGATCAGCAGTAATGAACATCCGTAGAGTGTTGACGGCACTAGAGGCAGCCAAATCGTACCCCTCCAGGGAGATGGCTATTGTTACCCTGGAAGCGGAAAAAGCTTTTGATAATGTGAACATGGATTGGCTGTTTCTGGTGCTGTCCACTCTCAGATTTTAGGGTAAAGTACTCTCCTTTCTGAAACATATGTATGCTTCACCGGTAGCCAGAATATTAACGGGGAGTGCATTGTCCCCGTCGATAGTACTGCACAAAGGGACACGACAGGAATGCCCACTTTTGCCGCTCCTCTTTAACTTGGCTCTGGAACCTCGAGGTATATGTTGCAAACACCATTGCTAAGTGGTATTAACTTAGGGACTGAAGAGCTCCGCATTGCACTATTCGCAGATGGTATCCTACTATTTACATCGAAACCGGCCAAAGACATAGTGGTTATACAAGATATATTTGCGTACTTTAAAACCTTATCGGGACTTCGCATTGTTTTCAGTAAAAGTGAGGTACTTCCTTTTACTTCGATTGTGGATCGCTCCTGGGAACCCAAATCGACACTCAGAGTGGCATCGCGAGACATTACGTACTTAGGCATTAAGGTGGGGAAACTCCCTTCATCGATATATGGGCTCCATATATCTCCTTTGATAGATAAACTAACCTGCCCAATATTCGCTTGTATAAAATAGCATGCTTGGTACGTCATGCGTTGGATTGGGTGTCTGGTAAATCTAGATTCTCCAATACCTCGCTGGAAGAAGCCTTGGTGCACCCATGGAACATAAAGGCTATTCTGCACTGTAAACTTTCTCTCCTACCAAAGCATATAGCGGGAAATCTATTGATCCGTGACACGGTGGTGGCCTGGAGGGAGGTGCATAGAGGATTGAATTTATCACCTCACCTTTCGGCATACTGCCCGATACAGGGCAATCCCATGTTCCCACAAGGTATGGATTACTTAGTGTTTAATATTTGGCAACGGCAGGGATTGAACATGTGGGCTAAATTGTCCACAGGACCTTCAATGACACCTGTACCCTTCTTGGAACTGATTCAGGACTTTAAAATTCCGAGCACACATTTCCTGCATTTCCTGCAGTCTACGAAAACGTGGCAGAGCATCTCGCGAAACCCTAGGAGCTTTCTGGGGGTATCATTCTTAGACACCATGCTGAAAGATAATGACTACTCTGTCTCAGAGCTGTATCCCCGCCTTCAGGCGTTGTATGTGCGACCGTTGCACACCTCTAATGTCCAGAATTGGGAAAAAGATTTTCCGGATCCTGAAATAGTTGACAACTTACTACGAGGATACAACAAGATTAAACATATAGTGATCAACGAAGTCTGGAGGGAGAGCCAATTCAAAATTCTGCGCAGGGCATACGTCCCGTATTTCAAACCGCAGAACACTTCCTCAGAATCTTTGATATCTAGATGTCCAAAATGTGGAGATATACGACCATCACTGGCACACTGCCTATGGAATTGTGACACAATATGCAAGTTCTGGCAGGCACTGGCCTCCTTTATTACGGATGTTACAAAGTGGACCCCCCTTTTGAACCCCTCCTTTATGTTTTTAGTGCACCACAGGGAATGGAAACAATGCAAACAGGGCAAAAGGGTAGGGACTTGATTTCTGTCTACTAGCGGCCAGGCGCTGCGTGATGCGTAGATGGAACGCGAATACTCCTCCAACGGTGCAGGAAGTAGTGAAGGAATTACATGTGCTCTTCCAGTGTGAACGACTGGAGGCGGAACTACAGCCAAACGTGAGGTCTGAGGAATTTTACAAGAGATGGGAAGCTTTCATCAATGCCACTCTCACACCGACTGAAATTAACCAGATTATGACACCTTTCCAATATACAAAATGGTACTTGATGGCCCGTTACCCAGCGAGGGGAGTTTGTCTTTGATAATTTGATTTTATGTCTCTATTACTTTGTACTGCCTTATGCTGGCTTGCCTTATTTTGTGGAAAAGCTAATAAAATATTTGTTTAAAAAAAAAAGATCAGCAGTACTGACATGCATAAAAGTATGGAAAGAGGTGAAAACAACATTTTATGGAAAACGGCAGTTGTTTATGATACACAGCTCTCAAACATGCCAAATGCCATTAGATATGTTTACCTAAAAGGGTCAGTTCGCCCAGAGATAATATTTTAGTCTTAGGTGGATCCTGTTGTGCTGAGTCAGCCCCTGGCTTCTTATTTGTCTCGGATACACTAATAGCAAGATCTCTCAACATCTACCCCCAAATCCTGATGACTGCAGGAAATATAGCGACTTTTTAAGGAGAAACGTAGCCTGAGGAAGTTTTGGAAGAAAGCAACAGCAGAAGAAAGGGGGGCATCAACATTATTCAAAAAATACGTTAAACAGAGGCTCTCTTATAGCTGTACAATGCAGAAAATTCAAGGAAACAATGCAAAAAAGAAGTGTAGCACCCTCTGCTATGTTGTTACTAAAGTTAGTGTTTATATCTAGACTGTGGTCAGTCTGGATGCTGATTATTCTGAGTTCTGCAGGCTTTCCCAAAGTCTGGTGGATTGAATAATTCAACCTGTTGCTGGGTTGGAGCCTCAGCATACAGTGTGGGAGGATCATTCCTCAAATTATTAATATAAATCTTACTCTGACCAATCTATGAGCAGGCTAACTCAGAGGTATGACTGAAGGAAGGTGATAAATATTTGGGAACACCTTTCCAGAACTCTCTCTCCTCTCGAGCTTCTTCATGGGAAGAGGTCTGTTTGTTGCAAGATGGCTGACCTAGGCCTCAGCATGTGGCAGGTGCTGGGGGCTCACAGGCCTAAAGTGCTACTGGAAAGAGACCTGAAAAAAGCTGGGCTGGAGGAAGGATCTGTTAACTGAGGAGTGTCACAGAGGAGCTTTTGAGAGCTGCCGTCTGGACCGTGAAAGAGATTCCTCGCCCTAGAAGAGAAGCCAGTTGGTGCCCTACAAGTACTGTGACTGCGCTCTCAGGGTCATAGACTGTTCCTGGCTGTTCTCTGGTGCTATTTTTGGTCACTCTCATAGGACCTGTTGCTACCAGTTACTACTGCTGTTGCTAATATTGAACACACTGTCCTCCATTTTTGTTATTTGGGTATCCTGCAATCCTAACCCTCTCTTCTAGTTATTACTGAGAAATAAATACTAAAAAGACCCTATTACATGAATCTGTTCTATCCTAGAAGTGTTGGTGTTACTGAAGCTGAGAAAAGAAGCCGGTGGTTGCAAAACAGGTAGGAGAACCTAAGTTATATCCAGCGGCTCCTACTGGGGTGAGCGCTACAGGAGGAAAAAGCTAATTTCTACAAAGATACCTTTAAATTTGTGGAAAATATTTTCATTAAAGAGAAAAGTGGATCCTTGAAAGCGTCAAAAGAGGAGGCTGAAAAACATCTCAGAACCATCCACACTGATGAGCGAAAAGAAGGACTGATACTTGTTCCAGTTGACTTCTTACCAATTTCATTCCCAAAACATCAGTTCTCCCAAGCTGAGTGAGATAAATAGAAAAAAAGTTATTCCTAAAGCCAGGTAAAGTGGGGGACGTACTGAACTTTTTGAATAAAGAAGGCAAGATCCTTTTCCATGATGTAGTTCGAGATGAGGGGGAAGAGAAAATAATACAAAGTGAACCTCGAGCAGTTTGATACACTTTGCTTGAGAATCACTTTTTATTATTTTCTCTTCCCCCTCATCTCGAACTACATCAACATCATCAGGAAGGCACCACCATTAATTGCGGTCAATTATGGGTGAAAGCCACCATTCCATGCCGTTTCATTGTCTGGCCCACTGACTTGCTTACCCACCATTGCACATTTGGTTGTGGCGCTTCCCCCTGTCTTTTTTGTTTTCCTGTAGTTACTTGGTAAAGACTTTGATCTTTTTTTTACATATAGGCACCACATTGGCCTTGCTCTAGTCCATTGGTACCAAGCCACTCAATAAGAGTCTCTAAAAATTACAAACAATACCTTCATGATAACAGAGCTCAACTCCCAAAGGACATGAAGGTATAAGCCATCTGAGCCAGGCAGCCAATGGACTAACTGGGAGAGCCAGGAAAAGAGGAAACTCCGCTAGTGTGACATCTGGGAGATGAGGGATCTTAGCTAAGTCATCAGGACCGCTCATGATCTCCCACCCTTACCCTAGAATGTGAATCAATGGCAAGGAGAAGATCCTGCTTGCTCTCTTTGTTAAGCTCTTAGATCACTAAGGCACATTCTAACAAGATGCTCTGCAAGCCTCAGCCAACAGCATTACAATTAAAGGGATAACCAAGTTCTCAGACGTCAGTTTTGGAACAGAGATGAACCACCACAAAGACTTTTCCGCAAACATTAGCAGGGAATTTCTATATCACAAGATGTGCGCCAGCAGGCAAACCTCCAGAGCATCAAAATGGAGCTTGGAAATGGAAAATGGATGTGGACCTGTAGAAAAAAATTGTGTTTGACCCAGATATTGTGACTACAACACTCCACCCAGACATGGCCCTATGGTCCACAAAAACCAAGATGGCATATGTTGTAGAACTGACAGTACCATTGGATGATGGTGTTGAAAAAGCTTAGGAAAGAAAAAAGAACAGGTATTCAGAACTGAAAACTGAAGCTGCCCAGAATGGCTGAAGGATCAAGATTTTCCCTGTAGATGTGGAATGCAGGACTTTTGTCGCTACATCTCAGTGAGGGGTCGCTCCCTCCAACAAGCAATTAATTCCTTATCAAATGCAGCAGAAAAAAAATAGCAATTGGACTTTAATTAAAAGGAAGACAAAAACGGGATTGCAAGTTGACACAGGAGGGTGTGGACCTGAGGGGGGTGTGCCTGGGACACCAGGTACCAACACTGAGACCTCTGGAGACATCGTGGACCCATCAACAAAACATCAAAGAAGGAAAGTGCCCACTTGATAGCCCCCATCACTTGATAACCCTCTCGCCTTTTCACCACTAAAATTTTAACATCAAGAGTGCAGACTTATCTAGGGATTGAAACATCATGTCCTATTAGCTCAACTGTCAGTCTCTTTTGTGCCACAAGTGAGAGCCACTTCCTGGAAGTGCAAGCTGCACTTCATCTCCACAATTAGTAGCTCAAGCTCTGCCCTCTACAACAGGTTTACAGATCCCTGCATCTGCATGCCTGGCAGTCAAGTGCAGTAGTTTGCAAAATTCTGAGATATTTATTATAGTAGATGCAACATATTTTTACTCTAAACAATTGCATAATTATTCTGTCTCAGTGCTACTTTAGAAGCTGAGGAAGACATTTACAACTCATGCAGTAACCTTGTAATAAATGTATCTCGCAATTGGTCTCACTGCCTCTGTTTAGCATTGCTTTGCATTGCTAAACGAGAATTGTGGCAAAGAGGTACTTTGCCACTCTATCTCAGGGTGGCACAATTTGTGCTCCCCCTTGACTGGGGGACTACATTTATTTTTTTCACCTTGGGTGCTCAAAGACCTCGTCCTGACACGTCCTGAGTGCAGAGCTTTTTGTGCTGACATTTCTCAATGAGATGCTGCTTTCACCCAGTTCTTTAGTGCATAGTTATGTGTTTCTTCATGCATGTAGTACCCAAATGGCTGGTACTTTTTCAGCAGCTAATACGCTGCAGGAAAGGGCTGCAGACCACAGCGGTGCTTTTGGCAGTAGATACGTTGAGAAAAGGTTCACACTGCAGAGCTCTTTCAATTTGCTGCCTATTCAAGTGTTCGGGTATTGTTCTGGCACTACCCAATTTCTACCAAACACATACCTGAAATCTATATTTTGAATATTCTGGGAATACCTGGGAATTTGGGGATGGGAGAGGGGGTTTGGGAAAGGTGAGGTTGGGAAGAAACTGCAGTGTGGTACTGTAATAAAAAAGAAGCACACCAACTATATTATCAAACTTTTGTGCCACTGGCCAATTTATATGAACTTGAGGGCTTAAAGAAGAACTCCAGAAAACTTTTTTTTTTATTAACCATTGCACCCACTATTTTTCAAAGAGAATAAATTCCCATAGCTTTTAGATCAGATGTGACTGGCTGCCACTCCCACCAGTCAATTTATGCCTGTTATGACTAGTTTAAGAAATCAGGTGTTGCATCCACAACTACCTAATAAAGCTACCATTTTCCTAGTTAGAATAATGAATCAGATTGGTGTGCTGCTGCAGCTATGTTAAAGCCAAGCAGTAATCTAAAAGTTAAAAAAATGCATAGCACTTACTCCCCAGGGAGTTGCTACTTTGATGGGTCCTCCTGCCTCTCCCAGTGGTGATCCATCCTTAATGAGACCTGGCAACTTACAGATACATCAGTAATGATAAAGTGGGCTTTATTGAAGCTAGAAAAAGCCCTGAAAAGGATGTACAGATTTACCAAATTTGATGCATAAACAGCTGGTCAAAGGCCTCCCACCACTATGATGCAGTGTGGATGCAAACAGTCTCACAGATGCAGCACAGGTCACTTCTCCCTGAACTCTTCACACTTCTCTGGGAGCCAGGTGACAGGTTGTCTGCAATGCTCTGGGTCTCCCCTCTCAAGCCTATGCCTGCAGCTGCTGTGCACTTGGTCCTTTCTTCTCTACTGGCCAGCTCTGTCTTCCCTGTTTTACACACAGCATACAGAGATCCCTGTAGCCTAGCAGTCTGTCCCCAGCTCTTGGTCTCTGCTATTCTCCCTCAGCAATCATCACACACACTTTGAAAAAAACAAAAACTTTTTCTAATGCATGTTGTTTGACAATGCTATCACCAAAGGCATATAAGACATATGCCCAGTGATAGTACAGACTAAGAGGTGACTTTTTCCAGCATATTTACTTCCATCATGGTAGGATCAAAAAGTAATAATATATTTTGAGTAAAGGTAAGGTCTAGTTCCACGCAGGGGCCGTTGGTCTACAAATGGTATACATCTAAGCTCCAGTAACGCAAATACAGGCTTTCTTGACAGTTATCTTTCAAACTCTTTTCATTTCTGTTTTTTAAGGGCAGTGGTGGAAACCAGGGCCAACCTTAGCGTTCTCTTCAGGGTTCCATTGGTTATCAGCTGTATGAAGGGGATTCTACATGCCCAGAAGAAATTCAAACTAGGTGGTACCCATACAAAGAGGTATATACATTTTATTATTTTGATATTCACTGTGAGACTAAATACTTTTTGGAAAAATAGAACTAACTTGTTCAAACTGTGGATCGTCCTCAATATTACTACAGGGAAAACCATTCTTAGGTTTACCCTGTTATGAGAAAGCATCAGCTCATTAGTCTTCAATGTAGAGACTGATGAATTCTTACAAGGTTGATCCTAAAATGCAGTGGGATTCCATACAGTATATTTGAACCACAGTGTTTGATGACACCCAAAGCTGTTGGCATGGCATGGCATGACTTGCAAAGATGCAAAGCTTGACAGGTAGCAAAATTCACATTTTAGCAACTGCCTATCATTTTATCATAGTATACAGTATATTATACTATATTATGTAGTAAATTATATTACATTATTTTCAACTGGTAGAACTCCATGACTCTCTACATATGCCTCCCCAATATCATAAAATCCATGACTGGTGCATACTTAAAGCCCAACTCCACTTTAAAACTTTTAAATTTCTTTTGGATAAAGTATGGAAGGGTTAGTGGGGAAGGTTTAGTATACCTGACAGTCTTTTTATTGTTGTCTGTGTCTTCCTGTGCTAATGGCAACCACTTCCAACTTTTCTTTTCCATCTGTCATAGGGAAAAGAAGAGAGGAAAATCTTCCCAGGAGAGCAGCTCCTGTCAGCTCTGGCTTCCTTCGGCCAGAGCTCTGACAGTTCAGAGTGCAGAGCAGACAGCGTGTGCTTGCGCACACCGGCCCGTACGGCATTCGTCTTCCGACCACGCCACCAACCCGTCCAAAAATCATACGTTTTTCGGCAGGTTTTCCAGCGTGCTCGGAAGATGAAAGACGTGCGACCTTACAGTAGAAGCGGTTGCACCCTGCTCATACACCTGCCGATTATCTTACGATCACCCACAACTATCGTACGATAATCGGCAGGTGTATGGGCACCTTTAGTGTATGTGTATATTAGGCCCCATTCACACTTATGGTATATTTCAGGTGTGATTAGAGATTCCTGTGTCAGGAACTTGCATTTTCCTGCAGCAGGAATCCCTAATCTGCCATTTACAAGCGGCAACTATCATAAGATAAGAATTATCATAAGATTATTTAAGAGGGTGTGTGTAGGGGCGGAGCCAAGGCCGAGGCAGGGTAAGGGTTAGGTGGGGCAACTGGTGGCTAGTAACTCTTAAGGCCTGGCTAGTAGTTCAGGACTTGAAATTTTGAGAAATATAATCAATTTATTAGATATCTGTTTCCTTACATTTTATCTCTTTACATATTTTTTCTAGTAGATTTCACTTAACAAATCCAGAATTTAAAAATGTATTTTGTTTTGTGGACAAAACTCCCCTTATCTGTCTCTGGGGGATTGGTATTTGAATATGAGCTTCCTTTAGATATTCTTACTCTTAATGTTTCAATCAATGATGCAAACATTATTATAACAAAAATACCCAAGTTACAGTCACTTTCTTGCATCAGTTACTGATAAATATTAATATGAGTTAAATAAATATTTGTAGCCATTGTTTAAAAAGAACAAAGCCATTGGGTATCAAAAAAAGCAGAAGCTTGATGCAGTGAAACACATTTACTGTCCATCGGACATTAGAAGAAAGAGTGTTTGAAATGAAAAATTAATTGGTACTTTTGTTGCGCTCCCTTTTCTCTTTCAATGTGTCTGGTGTAAAATTTGTAATTAACTTTTCAATCATTTTCTCATTTATTCTGGTACCTGGGATTGCATTTAATGTGCAGAAAATAGAGCTATATTTTCCCTAAGAGAGTTAAGGAAAAGAGATTAGAGGCTTCATCCTGTAGTGACGGATCCTCGGCACTAAGCAGCCATTTCACTCCTCACAAAGAATTTAATACAAAGAAAAGGATTCCTTTGTAATGTGACCATCTCAATAAGTGGAATTGACTTTCAGCACTTCAGAGGAATCACTGCCACGGCTTTTTCTGTTACAATTTTCCTATTTTTTCAAATGTAAAACATGATTAACTGCTTGAAAATTAAAGTGAATACTAGTGTGTATTGCTTATAATTAACATTTTCCTAAATACTTCACAATTTAATATAATAGAGGTCTTTACATAGATAAAAAAGAAGAAAAGAAACGGATGATATGCATAGCACACATTAGTATTGTGCAAGGTAGGGGGGGGATTATTATTTTTTTTTAAAGGGGCTTAAATGGCAACATGAAGCATTACTATAATCTCAGTTGTCATTTTGCCAACTCTTTTGCGATCTATTAGAATAGAAAGGACATTGGGACTTTTCAGATACTACCAATTGATATATAACACGTACAACAGAACTTGTTTAAAAATGTCACTTTTATTATCCAAATTTACATGGGAAGGTAGGGCTGTATGCCTCCCCAACAGTATCAACTTACATTTTACATTCAATGCTTTTCAAAATCAGTACTTGCACAAAGAAATACCCTCAACTATTACTTTGTAATGTGCAAATATCATTTCACTTAAATAACTGCTAATTATAACAATTGGCAGGGGTGGCATTTAAAATGCTGTATGTTCTCCAAATCGATGGATCTGCTTTGTCAGTTAACTTGGAATGTGTATATATATATATATAATATGCAAGGGATGCCTACAATTATACGTGTATCTTAGTGCAGACTTCTGGAAAAATCATTCAGCCAATCACAGAAGCAGGAAGTGACATTTCCGGGGGAGTTCTGTACACCAACTGTGTAGGGAATGTCTCCAGGACTACATATTGCATTGAATTTTTTGACAGATTTAGAACATTACAGCAGCTACAGTTTTAAATGGAAAGGTAATTTTTAATAACATTATATTACAAAATGGCTTGTGCAACAAGTATATATGCTATGTTCATTTTTTAAAGTTTTTTTCATTTTTATATTTTTAAAGTGGAGTAACCCTAAAGTATGACAAGCCTGCCTTAGGCAGTTTTCCCATAAAGGTTGTTTTTCTATATACCGCATATACCGGTTGTGTGGCTGAATGCAAAATAGAACTTAGAGAAGTTCTCCCTGTGCTTTTCATTATCATGTTTATCTTTTGTTCTGTTCATTTAGTTCATTCACTTTCTCTCCCCTAATCTCAAATAATAATAAAAAATGTGCCTTATCTGATGGATGCACTGAACCAATTTACAAGTTACGGCAGGAAAAAAAAAAGTTATTCACACCGGAGGTTTCCTGTTCTTGTGCTGTTTGTTTTGGAGTGAGTAGTTAGCTATGAAAATGTGCCAGTGCACCTTGGAGTATTGTTCTATTTTTTACTGATCACTGAATTATGTATGAGATTAGAACAAGTGTCTTTTCTGATCATACAAGTGCCTGCGAGTTTTATTAGAAAATGATTCCCATGCTATCATGTACTCCAAACATTTTCCTAAAGGAGGATCTTGTTCTAGATGGAGAGCGATTCTGCATTTAATCTCCTTTACAAGGCATATGGTGTTTTCATTCATTTTTATACCAGCTCTTCAGATCACGTTAGGGCACTTACAAGTGCATTTAATGTCATTCCTTCACCCTAGCATACTTAAGTGTATGATAAATTAATCTGCCACCACTACAGTCAGCAATATATGACAGAAAATACCAATGACTTGCAGTCAATGTAAGAAGTAGATCTATGTTTAAAAAGACTATTCATGTTTCATTAATAATATTAAATCTTAGTGAGTATGAGTGAGAAAATACATTTATATCAAGATAAAGTTTTGTCTTAGTTTTCCTTCATATTTAGTAAAGTAAAGTTTTATTGTTCGGTTTACTTTTTGGATCGCACACGTTTCATTTTTTTACTTCATTGTTAAATATGTAATTGTTTTGTTTTTGTTTTTTTATTACTTTTTCTTTCTTCTTTGTTCAATGTATTTGTTGCTTTATGTTATTTTTCTTTTTTTTAGAGGTGCACTGAAATGGAAATTTTAAAACCGAAATAAAAACAAATGTCAGGCCGAAAACCGATACCGAAAATGTTTTTTATTTTTTCAAATTCTTTTAATATTTCCCTTTTAAAATAGAAAAAGAGATTGAGAACACAAAGTCCTCAATATCTTTTTCTGTGTCCCCTGTTATCACTGATCACTGAGTGTGCGTACATTGCTTTTCTCTCTGACACGCTGTCACAGGAGGCTGATCGAGCGGTGTAGGGAGGAAAGCCCAGCCTCCTGTGACAGTGCTGTCTCCGCCCCCACACCGCTCTGCCGGACTGTGATTGTCGGCAGAGCAGTTTGGGAGGAGACGCAGGCCGCTCAGAGCGCTCTCCACCGCAGCGCTCGGCTGGCTGTTACTTTCTCTTCTCCCCGCTGGGACATAGAGCAGCACCCAGCGCGAGGAAAGAAATCAGGGATGCGCCGATGTATCGGCAGGAAAATTGCACTTTCGGTAATAATGCCAAAAGTCCCATTTTCGGCCAATATGTTTCGGCGGCCGATAACCCTACTTTTTTTTTTAACTATACTACGCCATCTTGAGGGCAGCCCTTACTACATCCACACATGCACAAACCAAACTGCACAGAATAACATAAACTAGGTGCACTTCTGATAGTCAGTAAGATCACTCTGCTGCTTCCTGGTTTAACCACTCCGCTTTACTGCTTTCTCCTAAGTAAGCTTTCTACTCACTGGTCCTAGGGGTTATAGTGTTGCACTGTTCAATAAGGAGGCCGGTGGGGCACAGGTGACACAGTAAGCTGAGCTGGACCAGGAACACGAATTGTTTAGGGCCCCTTCACACCTATAGACACATGCTGCTTGATGTATTGATGCATGTTGTTGTACCTGTGCCTATTTATTTCCATTGGGTCATCAATCTTTATGCACCAAAGACATACCTGACCTTTTTTTTCAGTGCAAAAAAACACTGTGCATGCGACTTCAGATTTATGTTGTGTGGTGTATTGAGGGTCATGTGCATTTCTTCTGCTTAGAAACATGTTGGGGTCCCATTAGAAATTAGTCGGAGCACCCCAAAATGTGTCCAATGCATGTCAAAGCACATTACAACACACACACATAGGTGTCAAGAAGGGCTAAATTAGAAATCACATGTTCCACCTACCTGGCTGTGCAGTGTGGAAAATATGTGGAAATCACAAGATTGACTTTACAGAGATACAAAGCATATGGCAGGTAAAACATTAAACATATAGGTATGTAAACTGTGCCTTTAGCTGTTTGCCCAGTGTTCACCCTTTAAAGAATGCTCCTCTATTGTTTTCCATGCAAATGAAGTAGAATAGATGTCACCACTCCAAGCCCTCATCCACTTCTTCCACCACTGGAAATCTGGGTTCTGGTGAGAGAGCTCAGGCATGCTCACAATTTTAGCAAGAAAACAGGAAACTGCATACCGCTACGGTCAGACCTTGAAAGACTTCGTGAGATCCGGACATGTCTCACTGTAGACACACCGGGGGACCTCTCTCTAATGCACTGATCATGCTTGCATTGGGTGAAACACATAGAGAAACAGTCTCAGGTGGGGCTGCAGTGAGAAATGTTTGGTTAAAGTTTTTCAAGGACTTATCGGTGTTCAGCTTCCTATTTCCTTGCCAAGGAAAGGAAGGTTACTGTCAGTGACTGGTTAACATGGTATACTTTATCAGAGATCCAGCACAACTACTTGTTGTTAAGGAACAACAGAAAGCATACAAAAATAAAAGATATTAATAAATCACACAAAACATAGGGGGGGAAATGAAAAATGCATTTTTACTATTTACCCATTAATTAATTACTTATAATACTGCAGTGATGTTGTTTTTTTAGGACAAGCAAGATTTTCTTTAGGGAGTGATACCTTCCCATAGCTATTTAATGTTGTATGCCTTTTATGCAATATAATAAAAAAAGAAACAGAAAATATGAACTGTTTTGAGCTGTGAAATTTTATCCCTTCCCAAGTTTGTCCAAAACAAAAAAATACAGTTTGGCAGTAGCTGGGCTTTAAAGTAGAATGTGAAATAAAAATAAAAAAGCAACTTTGACTGCAGTGCTCACTTTCTCCCCAACACTGCCCTGCATAAAGAGTCTACTCTGCAGCCAGACACAGGTTCCTTTCTGGGTCAAATGATGACTAGCTAGCATTATTCAAGCCACTTCTTGGGAGCACAGGCTGTCAGGGATACGCCCCCAGCATCACCACGTCAGCCTGGGATCACACTATAATAGAGCAGAAGGTAGCACTGCATAACGTCGGCATTGGTTTCTGCAGTATTGAAGACCGCCCATTACCGGCATCGAAACAGGAGGGAAAAGACCCTCTGAACATCACCTGACCGGCTATATAACATCTGGATATGTATAAGGAGAATTTTTTAAAAAGTAGGTGCAATAAGAGGGTGTAGTGGAAAATGAGGTGGACAGGTGCTTTAAACATCTGTATACAATGTTAAATATTTCAGTTTTTGTGCAGGTGTAGGTAATTTTCCAAGAATTATTTGTGAATTATATTGTTTTGTCATTGTGACCTTTTATGTCCTTGAGCAAACTGGTAACTTGGCCGTGGGGGGATGGCCTGTGATCTCACAGAATGGAAGCCAACCTGCAGCTTTTCTATGACTGTGATTTCTATCAACCTGAACAGGCATCATGTCTTTAGAGCATTTAGAATGCTGTTATTATTCAGCATGTATATAGTCCTTCAGAGTGGCCGTATTTCTTTTCAGCTCCTGTACAGAGCATGTCCCTCTTTTATTGTAAAGCTATAACAATGACAGACATCTAGTCACAGCCAATTCGTCAGATATTCACAAAGGGAACAATTGCCGTTCACTATGATTTGTAACTGGTAAAATGACAAGCTGGAGGAGGAAATGCGGTGCACAACATTTAAATGGAAAATGGTGTGGTAACATCTGTGCATCTGTTATATATGGTTATTATCACATTATTTTATCCCATGCTGGCATTCATAGTGACCATTATTCACAATGTACTTTTTATAAGAGTATAGTGTTACTGAGTTCAGTATACAAACAAAATAAATTACCTTTTCAACTGTGCCTGAGCAGGTCTTTGAAATATCATTGTTACCTATACAACGTATTCACATTTTATCCACTGACAATGGTGTATAAGTACAATTGTCTGTTATATATAGCTTACTTTGGTATTGTATAGAAATAAGTTTCCATATCTATACATGTAAAAACCTGGTTAGCAATGGAAAAGGCTTTCAAGGTCAGGCTTGAAGGGCCATTAGGATGAAATATAGGAGAATCATAGAACACATAAGCATTAATATGCACAACGTAGACTAACCAGTTTTGAGACCACACCTGCATCATGGTATTAACAACTATCCAGTTCCCCCAGTGGATTCTTTAAGTAATGTTGTCAAAGTCTAGGTCACAATTTCTGCAGACATTTTTGGCATAATCCAATGATAACACCATAAGACCGGAGATCTCCTACCTCATCTTCTTCTTGAAGTTCTCAGTCATACCTCATCTTCTTCTTGGAGATCTCAGCCATCACTCTATGTTCTTCTGCACCAGAGGAAGAGGAACATCCGCCTCTCTCAGTGTAGCCACTTTACAAATTGCAATGATAGTCTGACACTGTCATCTGAACCTCTTCCATTCCTCCAATGTCATTTACATTGCTGCCCATGTGCATATGTACTTTTACTTGTTGGCTGGATTCAGACATTTCTCTTCTTGCTGTAGAACTTTGATAATGACATTGATTATGCAAAGCAAATGTAAATATAAACATAATCTATTCAATAGTTAGCAGCTTGCTGAAAAAAATATACTTTCTTCCTTCATGTTTTAGACAGTGTTTTTGTTACAGCTATAATTTCCTCATCAGACTATAATATGTTTTTATATACTGGTAACGTCTACCTAATTCTCAAACCTTTACGTACCATTTTTGCATATTTTATGAGCACTGTAACTATATTTTTGATTCAACAGCGGCTTGAGACAAGAAGAGTCCATCATAAACAGTGAACATGCTGAAGCCCAAATTCATGAGCTCATTAGACGCATGCGGGAGAGAACCAGCCATTACAAGGAGAAGCTGTCTGATGCAGATGTCTCGTCAGCTGAAGGAAGCCCCACCACAAGTAATTTTACAAGTCTAGACAGGGGTCTACCTGTCTAGCAACCTTGCCATTTTTGCAACCATGAGACACCCGGGTGCCAATGAACAATTGCGCACCATAGTGTTAGTAAAATGTCAAATTTTACACTCATAGTTGTAGTGCTAATAGTAAGTTAAATACACTAATTATTTTAATGTGTTTACCTTGCCATTAGAAGCACAACTATGGGGTCTATTCACAAAGCTGCCGAGGGCAGCCGAGTGAATGACCGATCAGAAGTGAAGTGAGCCGAACACTGTTCGGCTATTCACTTCAGGCTGGTACGGCTGATTTCAGCCGTACATCGGCTGAAATCAGCCGTACATCGGCCTGCTTCGTGTGGCTTCGAATCAGCCGAACATGCTCAGCATGTTCGGCTGACCCAAAGTGCAGAAGGAGTTCGACTCAGCCAATCCAACATCTGGATCGGCTGAGCCGAACCCCAAGTGGGAAAAAAAACTGAATATCTGGCACACACACAAAACATGTTCATATTTACATGTACTAAAAAATAAACTGGACTTACAGTGTTAGTGTGGTCCCAGTGCCTGTATTTCATGGCTCAGTTGTGCTATGCCTGGCCTATTTAATGTTACTTTAGTTGACCTCAGACCAGCACCAATACATAGCAGACCTCAGCCCAGCACCAATGCACACTTTGCAGGGCAGAACTCAGACCAAAACCAATACATGGCAGACCTCAGACCAGCACCAATACATGGCAGACCACAGACCAGCACCAATACATGGCAGGCCTCAGACCACCATCAATACATGGCAGACCTCAGACCAGAACCAATATGTGGCAGACCTCAGACCACCTCTAATACATGGCAGACCTCAGACCAGAACCAATACATGGCAGACCTCAGACCAGTACCAATACATGGCAGACCTCAGAACAGCACCAATACATGGCGGACCTCAGACCAGCACCAATACATGGCAGACCTCAGACCAGCCCCAATACATGGCCGGCCTCAGACCACCATCAATACATGGCAGACCTCAGACCATCACTAATACACAGCAGACATCAGAACAGCACCAATACACGATGGACCTCAAACCAGAACCAATCCACACACTTCACACTGGAGAAGAGATAACAGTTTCTAATTGCTCATGCTTGGAAAAAAACAGTATTGTAGCAGCAGGCTCATCTACTCAAATAGACCAGTGCTTTTGTGTAGACCCATACAAATGCACAGCAATATTATCAGCCACAAATAGCATTGATTTTATTCCTGTCCTATATATTGGGGCAAGAAAGAAATCAAAGCTATTTGTGGGTCAAAGTACTGATGTGCATTTGTGGAGACCTGCGTGTGTGCAGGTGTGAAGGGCATGTAGAAAATACACTAAAACTCACGGGCGATCCTTCCGATCCTGTTGGGCATGCAAATCCTCCTGTGGGGCATGGAGCAGTAAAATCCACCAATGAGGCAGTAAAATCCTCCTATTGTGCGTGAGAAAGTAAAATCTGCTGGTCGGGTGGGGAATAACAGTATGTGACCGGGCCTCCTGCTTCTGTTAAGCGGGTGGGCTGGCAAGCACATGAGGGCTTTACTAATAGACCACTGCAAAAAGAAATAACCCATAACATCCTGTCAGAATTCAGATTGCCAAATAAATGATTGGTTACTATGAGTTGCTGCATTTTCAAATTATTTGCGTCCAGAGCTGAAACATTCTTCTTCAGTTTTAGATACAGTAAGGATGGCTTAATCCCCCTGTTAAGTTTTAATCACTGTCTGTGTGCCCATTGGGGACATTCACCTTATCTATTTGTCCCATTAAGCACTGCCATTCAGACTGAAAATGAGGGAAAATCCAAAATTTGAAGTTGTCACTGGAACATAAGTAAAGGGGGAAATCTTTAAATGAGGAGCTTGTACTGGTGACAACTGTCTAAGAGAGGATTTTACTAAGCATTTTTATTCAGAGGTGGTAAGCTACCAGATAGATATTTTCATACAAGGTCACCTTTAATCTCTAGCAATCTTCATAGTGTGGATTGGACACAATGCAGTTTAATTACATAATTGTTTGAAATATTTATATTTGAGCCGTATTTTCCTATGCAAAATCTATACTGATGACCTATAAGGTTCACTCCTATCTGACTAGTACAAACTACAGTCCCAGACCCAGCATATGGTACAGACTCACTGGAAAATATACAACACATTCACATCTCCTGTATTTCCCATTGAAAGCATTGTACAAAAGAGATTTATTGGTACCCCACAAATAGTAAACAATAAAAGCCTGTTTTACTACAACCCTGTGCAACAGTGGCGTAACAACCGGGGGGCGGGGGGTTTGCCCCGGGCGCATAGATGACGGGGGGCGCCTGCCGCGAGCCGGGCCGACTGTCACCAGAACAAGGCAGCAGGCATCAGGCTCCGTTATGGCAGATTATGCAGCCGAGGCTCCAGCACGGCCGCATAACCTGCCATAA